CAGGACACCCCCTGGGTGCATGCACAGCGTCGGCTGCGGGCAGTGGCGGAGTGCGAGGCCTCCCGGCCGGTGGAACTCAACCAAGTCCTCACCTACGCCAAGCGGTCCGTTGCTGCTGCATATACACCAGAAATATATGCTGCATATACACCAGAAATATGCTGCATGTACACCAGAAATATATGCTGCATATACACCAGAAATATGCTGCATATACACCAGAAATTAGCTGCATATACACCCCAAATTAGCTGCATATACACCGCAGATCACCTGCATATACACCGCAGATCACCTGCATATACACTGCTACAGTTGCTGCTTCTACTACTGTTTTTCCTGCATTCATCATCTGGTTGATCCTGTTGCTGCTGCTTCTGCTGCTGCTACTGTTGCTGCTGCTGCTACTGTTGCTGCTGCTGCTACTGTTGTTGCTGCTGCTGCTACTGTTGCTGCTGCTGCTACTGTTGCTGCTGCTGCTGCTGCTACTGCTGCTGCTACTGCTGCTGCTGCTGCTGCTGCTGCTACTGCTGCTGCTGCTGCTGCTGCTGCTGCTGCTGCTGCTGCTGCTGCTGTGTGTGTTTCAGTTTAGCGGGTTGTGTATCTGCCCCTCCCGAGAGCAGCAACACGGTGGACGCAGTAGCTCACGCCTCTGCATTCCCTCGCTACCACTTTCTCCCCTATCCCTCAACAGAAGAAATACAATCATCAAGACTAGCATTACTGGCATCTAAACCTTATGCATCTATTTGTTTTCCGCCGGAGATTACGGCCAAGGTGGTGTACGTACACCGCAGTGATGCATATAGCTGCCTATACACCCCAAATGGTGGTGTTGTACCCATGTATGATACTTGTCTCCTTTCGGATTATAAATGGAGAAATCAAACACAAAAAGATATTTTTTATTTATTATATATTGTCTCCGCCACTCCCTGCTGCTCTTTCTGGCTTTCTGCTGCACCTGGTCTCCCGCAGCAGCAGCAAAGCAGCAGATGCATCAGCCACAGAGACATACAACTGCTGCTGCTGTTGCTGCTGCTG